ATGCATCCAAACCTTCAACACTCGGCGCTTTACCCCGATTTCGTTGCAGAATTCCATCACCGCCGCTTCATCGTTCTTTTGAATACGCCAATCCAGCTTCTCCGCCATCACCAGCATCTTTTCCTTCTGCTCCTCCGTGAACTTTGTCCTTACCCGCTTTCTGCATCCGCCGTCTCCACTTGAAGGCGACGGGAGCGCCAGCATTCGTCGTTGGGGTGCCACGTGGAGGTAGCCAGCTGGAGCACGCCAGTAGGGAACGAACTGGGCGGTTGGTGGTGGGTTGGATAAGATGAACGGTGGTGATTCTCCGTTGTCGTCGTGGGTGGTAATGTCTTTGCGGTGGAAGTTGCGGTGGCAGTTGCAGGCGGCGCATTTGAGGGCGTCGAGAGAGCCGTTAGGGCCGGCGGGCATGAACTCGCCGCAGCCGTCGAGGGCGTGGCCGCCGATGGCGACGGCGTGGTTTTTTAAGCACTCTTTGTAGAGGAGGGGAGGAGGGGGGTTGGAGTGGAGCGGAGATGGGGTTTTGTTGAGGCGGGAAAGTGGAGGAGGAGGGGTTTGAAGAAGTGGTTTGTCGTAGTTTGTTGGAGCTTCCATTTCCATGTCTTCTTCTTCTTCGTGATCCTCGAAATCCATTTCGGGCTTCTGCGACGGAGAACGGAGGAGGAGGGGGCGGAGCAGGAGGAGGAGGAGGGTTTTAACTACGGTCAAGTGCACCTACCGGCTCTACCCGGTGCCGGTACAAGCATGAAATGAAGGGGATTTGGGATGAATATTTTTCATTTGATTTGATAGTTTACTTATAGCTTTTTTTAATTATTATCATTAATAAAATAATATTTCAAATTATTATCACCATTGGTTGAAGCTACATTTTAATTATTTTTAAGAAAATATTTCAAATGCATGGTCGAATTTGGAAGGTGGTTTCTCTTTAATCTTTATTCTTTATGACGTAAAATATATTTTTTTAAATTATTGGAAAGTATTTCGAGATTGCTTCAGTGCGTGAAAATGTCATTATTCACTCACTTTGATAATATAACGCTTACCTTCTAAAAAAACGAAATAGAGATATATATAATCTTTAAATAATATAGTTCAATTCATATATACATGTTAAGTAGTTAATGTTGGACCTATTAGAAAAAAAAAAGTGAAAAACTAACTATATTATTATATTAGATTAAGTAGACACATACTAAATATTTAGTAGATTATTGAAAATATTTTATGATATAACCCCTCATCAAATCTGAATCAAGCAATTTTTAACTTATTTTAAATATTATTGTGGTCTTTTTTTTTTTTTTCCTTAAAATTATTAATAAAAAAATTAAGTTAATAATTTTATTTAAAACTTAAAACCCAAAATAGGAAAAAAAAAATAAAAGTGGAAAAGTTTAGGGGGTATGATGTGAAGATAATTTATTTATTGTGTAATAAAGAAAGAAAATGGGTTTAGAGCTGAAAAGAAGTGGAAATGCTTTTGATGTTTGGGACAGAGTTGGGAATGAATCAAATGTCGGAATCAAACATCACGTAAAGACAAACCAAGGAAATCATTGTTTGGTTGATTTTGTTGATTTTGAATTACCATTTTTTATTGTATAAATATATATATAAAAGTATTTTTAAAAATTGAATTTTGGGTTTCTGCATTCCCACGTCGTTATGTTCATAACAAAAGAATTTTGTGTCAAAAAATGGGAGTAAGTGAATCTTGTGGAAGGATCTCCCTTTCCAACAACAACTTTATTCATTCCTTTTCTTTTCTTCAAGTTTTGTTGACTCAATACGAATCAAATGAGACGAGATATAGTTTGAAACTATATGAACGAGAAGAATTAGAATCTTGCCACACACGGTGACCTCATGCTTAAGTCACGAAAGAATTAGCATCAAGTAAAGTAAAGGAAGGAGCCAACCTGAATCCAAAGCGTAAATTACAGGTTGTTAAACATAAAGAAGAGAGAGAGAAAGAAATCGACGGGTGGGAAGCAATGGAGTAACATCATTACTCCACCGGCCTTAACCTACTAGCCTATCTGAGTTTATGATCATTATAGCTACGGTTTTAACATGTTAAAATAGTGACCTAAGATCTCTAGACATGAATGTAATCTATTCACTATTTGGTTTTAAAAAGAACGTCTTAAAATGGATCTATTTCAAAATTCATTTGAACATCTATTTTTAGTCACGTATCTAAAACCATATATATTGCATCACACTCTGACCTGTGTGTTCATTCTAACTCACACGCCGTACGTAATGTGGCTTGCGAAGGAAACAAACTTTTTCTTTACCTTGCACTAAAAAAATGAAGCTTTGAATGTAATGTTAGATTCAGAAGGTGTTCTTTTTATCCAAAAAAAAAAAAAAAAAAAGAGGCAAAAGATACAAATGGATGGATTGGAGAGAGAGAGGGAAAGGAAAAGGAAAAGTGAAAAGAAAAAAAAAAGGGCTAAAAATGTAAATTTGTATACAAATTATTTGTAATGAGAATGATGGGTTAAGAAGACGGGGACAATTTGCAAGTGATGGTTGCAGGGAAGGAGAAAAGAAATGGTAAAAGGGAGACCATATTTCAAAGGACAAATGAAAAGGCAGAGAGACACATGATTACGCAAATTCAAGCTCCACAACCAAGTACAAACGGTGCAAAAAACCATGCTTTTCTAATTACATAATCCCCACTGAAACGCTCTCTTAAGTATCGAAATCGAAATGTGTAGGACATATTACCACGTCGATATAAGTATCTTTCTTGTATTGCAGGCTGACTTAGCTCCTCAGTTTGTCACTTTGACTCGAGAGGCTTATATAAATCTACGTTTGGATTTTTCATGAGAATCTATAAAAGTAAAGTAGAGTTAGTATTGTGAATACTATTTCGAGGAATCTTTGTTAAGACATATAAGTAATATAATTGGAAAATGTTGTTGTTAGAATTTAAAGTTGATGAGAGAGAAAGAAGATGGAATCCCACATCGGAGAATTTAGGAAACACGCCATAATACAAACAGAAGAAGACAAAAGGAAAATGGGTTTTCTGTCATTGGCTGCAAACATTTGAGTTGAGAGACAAATGAGAGAGGGAAGGGCAGGGCAGGCAGAGATGGATGTATAATAGAATTGTTTTTGTTGTCAAAATCAAAACCATTCTATTGCCCGTAAATTTCTCCTCCTCCGTGTGGCTGGTCTTGTCATTTTCACCAGCCTGCAACTTCAACGCCCCCTCCCTCTTTGGCCTTGCTTTGTGCTGCTGCTCTCATCCGTACTGTTTATTTGGGAACCCACCTCTCTGCTTCTGCTATTTTCACAACAGATTTGGGCTTTGTAAACTTTGTGTGATTTCTTAGCTGCTTTCCTATGGCTATGGCTATGGCTTTATGGCTTTATGGCTGACATCAAAGCACAAAACACTGCCCATCAATCTTAGTGTACCTCACACAAACGGTTGCTTGCAACAGAAGGCTATTATTGTGAACAGTACTGTTGCTAAATATGTATGCACATGAGATTTTCTTCTGAAAAATAGTAACCATTGATGTGGATTGGACTGTTTGATCTGGGTTATTAACTCGCTTTATAAGCACTGACTGTTGAATTGTCAAGAGCATTGATGAACTCTTTGTGTAGTTGGTGGCTTAGTTAGTTTAGGTGAGACATGAGAAGGGAGAAGGCTGTGTAAGCTGAGTCACTTTGTTTTACTCAAACAAGGAAGAGCAGTTTAGCCTAGATGAGTCCAAGTTGATGAAAACTTCAAACCCTCTACATCACCCACAATTTTGGCAACAATGTTATTGGAAGCTTGGTAGGCAATGCAGAGAGCGTACTCCACCCTGAGCTCTATCAGGGGCGATTAAGAGGAGTTCGACTCCTTTGTCGTGGTTGTTCGAAGAATCATCGATGCAAAGGTGTCGGACCTTGTCCATTCTTGACATTGGGTGCATTGGTGATGAGAGTGAAAGGAATGAACATTCTAATTCGTGGTGTAAGAATTAGAACCGTCTTTGAATTTGTTTAGAATTAAACAAAACTGAATGCTAAACAAACATATATTGAAGAAAATATGAAGATATTTTTTGGCGGGTCTTATTGAAAATCCACAACAAAGTGTTCCTTAATATGGCTTGAACGCAAGACCAAAGGCGTGTGAGAACTATTCCAAGAGTAATTTAGGTTACTTTACCGTCTTGTTATTCATCAGAGAAGTACATTGGTCTTTCTTGTGATGGTCGAGTAAAGAAAATGTACATAAATGAATCAGGACTACATCCCAATGAGACTAATACTGGTGTAGGATGGTTGAGAAATTTTTTAAAAAATTGGAGTTGCTACCTATACCAATAAAGTATATTTTTACTTTTCAGTGGCTCAATCCTAAAAACTTCAATTTTGCTTAGATCAATTCTATATTAGGTGACCTCCTAGAAATTTTCTTAGGAAGCATATGAGTGACGACAAAACATGCTAAAAGTATTCATGTTAATATGCAAGTAGGTAATAGGGTCATATCGCAAGGGATGTAGGGAGAATGTTGGAGTCATTAAGTGTCGAATCTGAATTTCAAATCTTAGACATGGGATGTTACAAAATGATATCAAAGTGATACCTCTCCTAGTAGGATGTCGTTTGGAGAAGATCCAAGGTGGAAGCTGGTAGGCATGTGATATCCAAATAAATGAAGGGTACATGAATGAACCGAAAAGTTAAACGTGTTTTACAAGAAACAATTCTATACTGGATGATATTTTAAGAATTTTCTTAGAAAATATGTGAGCGAAGATGAAATATGTTGAAATGATCCGTGTTGATTTATGCGTAGGTGCACTCATAAGTTTATATTGACAAGAACTCCCAAGTTTATATTGACAAGAACTCCAATTCCTAGCGTTTGACACACAAGTAGCATCTAAACGCTGCTTGTGCGGGACTTTTGGCTTGTAGGTTGCACATAAAGAATGACTAGATGCTCTACAAGCGTCTTGACACTGTCTTTAGAAAAAAAAATGGTTTGAAATTCAGCTTTGTTTGGCTAAACATTGCCTAATTGAATATGAATATATCTTTGAAACCCGTCCCCCTTTGCTCTTTGCTGATACAAAGTCTCTACCAGCTCCAACAATGAATTTTGCAGTCGGAAACAGAGCCCCACGAAACTCTAGATCACATAGAAAGGAGGAATTTAAATCAACTCACTGTATGCTACCAGCTCCATCAGACACTAAATTTCTTTTTGACAATGTGCAGATCCGCGAGGGCAAGATCGATTACATGTGTCATGAACCCGAAAACAATAGCACTTCTTCTGCATGGCTGCATTAAACTTTCGTTTGGTTCTGCTCCTTACAGCTATGTCGTGGGTCATCTCCCTTCTCTGGCCCAATACCTACCTCATTAACTAAATTCTTTTAGGCCTCTCATTAACCATCCCTTCCTTCTTAGTTCTTAGTAGCCATTTCTGGTATTCTATTCTTCCTTTCCTTTTTGCAAAAGAAAACAAGTTTATTTAGATAGGATTTGTAAATCCATAATCCCCCAGTGATTCCTAAAGAAGCAGAAGCCAGATAATTATTGTTTAGTCCACTAATGTGACGTGGAGTTCATTGTCCACTGATTCCTAAAGAAACGAAAAGAAAAACATTGGAGCTACCAGCTACTTCATGAAACTTTGATCCTTTTGCTTTAAACAGCAAATTTAATGTAAAAAAGGGCTTGGCGGATTTACCTCGGCTGCCATGATATTCAGATTTCAGATGTTGTACCAGCTGCTTGCCATGCTGCTGCCGATGCTGGAATTCACTCTGTTTGAGTCACAAACGTTAAGTAACTCTTGTTTGCTTATCTATTAGTAATTAGTCAGAACTAAGGGAGCAATGCAATGCTATAACTTAGAGAAGGGGGAAGGCATTGAACACAAATGAGAGCTGTTCAGTAAAAGAGCTTTAGTAAAGCTTGTATTAGTGTATTGTAAGAATGCAAGCAGAAGTTTCAATCTAAAAAACACTCCACTTTTGGCATCATTCTGAGTAACCATGGGCATTAATTACACCCTATTTTTTCCTTTGCATGAAAAGATTACAAGAAATGTGGAAAAACCTAAACGATTCTACCCCAGCCAAACTTCATCCAAAAAAGAGGAATTGATGCAAACACTTCCGGAGTGATCGATTCTATCCCAGGAAACAGAGTAATCTTCAAGCCATATTATGTGGAGATGTAAGTTCTCCAAGAAGGCATGGATCGTATACTTTCCCCACTTACTGAGTTTATTTGATTTTTAGCGATTGGTTTTTAAAGAAGATGGGCAAGAGTGATCACAATTATGTGGAATATCTGGAATGATTACAATCAATTAAACCAGGCCAAGAAGCACACAACTTCAGCAGATATTCAATCAAGTCATATTCAGAGCAGATTATTGCAAGAGTTTCAAAGTGCAAAGACGAACCTAAAATTGGCGAGAATCATAGACCCGCGCGAGTCGGAGCATGTGGCCTGCCGGACGACTTCTGGAAGCATAGTGTCAACGCCGCTGATGTGAAGCTTAGGGAAGAGGAGGTCTGCGATCGGAAATCTCGATTAAACCGAGAATGGAGAGAAAGTCGGCAGACTTCCGTTACATAGACCGGGAAGGGGACGGGGATCAGCCCAGTTACCCGCCCTATCCCCGCTTTTCTTTTACCTATAATTCATTTTTATAATTTTATTCTAGCTCGTACCTTTTTTATTTCAAATTCAGCTTTATTATAAATATTATTATTTATATATTACAAGATTTAAGGTTTTGGGATTATAATTGTAATATTAAATTGAAAATATGTTTAAAATTGTTTTTACGTGGAATACAATCTTATAATATTAATTTTTAATTTCTAATTTGGTATAACCCATTGCTTTTGAAAAGTTTATTTGAAATAACCATTTAAAAATAATAATAAAATGAAGAAAAACTCCTATAAAAAAATTAATATTTGTGTATTGTCTACTAAGAATTTATGTCCTCATCTCTCAACTAAAATAAAATATAAAAATTGCATTAGAATGGAGAAGGCTTTTCCATCCCCTGTTTATCTCTCATTACGTCACGTTTAAATCAAAAGGAAGTAGCCTATCAAAAAAGAAGATTATAATATAAATATGATAAGTTTATGGAATTAAGGAGTAATTTTAACCTCTAAAATTATAAAATAAAAAGGTTTTAACTTGATGAAATTTATAATTTAATATAAAACTAAATAATTGGATTTGGGAAAAGAGAGACGAGCAGGAGTGGACCCAAGGAACATGGGCAGAAGAAATAAATGGGTGTGTGCCACGTGTCCACGTTACAATCTTGAAACACGATTCCCGTTCGGTGGTCCATCCTGAACTTAGTAGCTGTAATTGGCTGGATATGGATATGAAAAATTGAAGATGAGAGGGGCATTTCGGTCAAATCACAAATCGCTCCAAAGAGTCGTTGAGAGAAAAAAAAATGTCAACAACTCAACGTACCCACCGGACAGACTGTGAAGCCAACAACATGATTTCTTATAATATTTCCACTTGGCATAGGCCTGTTATAATATGACACGTGTCCTTCATTAGGTTATTCGTGTAGTTTTAATGCCCATGATTAGAAATCAAAATTATTATAATGTTTATTTAGATTTATTGCCGAAGTAAGGAGGTTAAAATATTGGTTGTATAACTTTATTATATTGGGACCTTATCATATGAGTTTTTAAACAAAGTAAATAATGTGAAGCGCATAAAAAGGGGTTTTTTTTTTTTTTTTTTTATTGTGATTTATTTATTATAAGAGCAAATGATTAAAAAAAGGAATTTGGGAATCTGAAGCATTATTGGGGAAAGAGGAGGCAAGGCTGTCTTTCTTGTTCTTGTTCTTGTTGTGTACATATATATCTCTCTGCTATTGCTTTTCATTTCAACTCCCCACTCAAACTTTCTCTAATTTTCTATCTTATCTTTTATTTGGTGGAGAAAATGAAGATGGGTTTTCAATTTCTGATGGTTTTGGCCTGCTTGGCTACTTCTTCTATGGCTCAGGCTCCTGCCGCTGCTCCCGCTCAACCGCCCACCACCCCCGCTGTTCCGCCCCCGTCCACTCCTCCTCCAGCTGCCTCCCCACCTCCCGCCACTCCTCCTCCAGCTGCCACCC